GTTGCCACTCCCCAAAGCACTGTGACTCTTCCACCACCAGCAGCCGTCAACAGCTAAGAGCTCCTCTGCTGGAGCCCAGGCTCTCTGAGTCCTTCCTCCCCCATCTATCGCAGCCATGTTTAAAACAAACATTTTAAATGTTTTTGTAGGATTGGAAGGTGGCCCAGTGTGTAAGATACCTGTGTGCAAGCATGGGAATCTAGGTTTGAATCCTCAGAACTCACTTAAAAAGCTAGGCACAGTGGCACACACCTGTAACCCCAGAACTGGGGGTGGGAGGAGGACACAGGTGTAAGTCTGACGCTCACTGGCTGGTGGAGCAGCAAGACTGGTGAGCTCTAGACTCAGTAAGATACCCTGTCTCAAAAACATAAAGGTGGAGGGTGACTGAGGAAAGACCCCTGTGATGGTTTGAAAAAAAAATGGCCCCCAAAGGGAGTGGCACTGTTAGGAGGTGTGGCCTTGTTGGAGTAGGTGGGGTCGTGTTGGAGGAAGTGTGTCACTGTAGACACCAGCTTTGAGGTCTCATATATGCACAAGTCATACCCAATGAGACCAACCACTTCCTGTTGCCTGTGCAAGATGTAGAGCTCTCAGCTACTTTTCTAGTACCATGTCTGCCTGCATGCCGCCATGTCCCACCATGATGATAATGGACTAAGCCTCTGAAACTGTAAGACATTCCTCTAAATGTTTGCCTTTATAGGAGTTGCCATGGTCACGATGTCTCTTCACAGCAATAGAAACTCTTAAGAAAACACCTAAGGTCAACCTCTGGTTCCAGGTGCATATGCATGCGCGTATACACATTAACAGTTACACTCCCCTCCCAATAACATTCTTTTAAAAACTACCATCCAGGAGTGGTGGTGTCTAACTTTAATTCTAGGAATTGAGGCAGGTGGATTGCTGCAAGTTTGAGGCTAACCTGGGCAACATAGTGAGTTCAAGGCCAGCTTGGGCTACATAGCAAGACTTTTGATGGCTCAGAGATTAAGAGCACAAGGTGCTCTTCCAGAGGTCTTGAGTTCAATTCCCAGCAACCACATGGTGGCTCACAACCATCTATAATGAGATCTGGTGCCCTCTTCTAGCCTGCAGGCATACATGCAGGTGGATGGGACACTGTATACATAATAAATCTATCAAAAAGTATAAATGATGCAACATCCCTTTACTTCTTGGCAGACTTTTAATTCCTTTAAAACCACTTAGGTTGCCTTTTAAACTTCTTTCCAACTTCTAAAAGCTGCTGCAGGCTGAGTATCCTGTTAAGACAAGTACTAGCAGGTGGCAGCTTGCTCTCTCAGAGCCACCACCTGCCAGATGGTGGACATATGTGCCAGGCCCTGTTGGAGACTTTCTGGACTAGTTGTACAGATTGTTAGCATCATCTGTAAGTGAATTAGTGATGACCCAGTACCAGCAGTGGGAAACTCATGGAAAGTTCTCCACACACTAAACAGTAGTGCTGACATGTGGGCTGGACGAGAATAAATTCGGACCCTGGAGATTGAGTTCCAGTGATTTGCGGCTCCCAGGAGGTGTGTGCCCTGCCTTTTCCTATTTGACCCTTTGACAGAAGATGCCTTTAGACTCAGAGTGCAACAGGCTCATGCCCATAAACCTCTCCTCTCCCAAACCCACCTGTCTCAGCAGAGATTTTGACTAGTTGAATCTAGTTCCTTTTTTATTTCTTACTGGAAGCACAGACAAGCTATGAATAAAAGCAGAATTCCCTGTGGCTGGGTTTGGAGCCCACCTGGAAAGTTCTTTTGGACTTTTAAGCAACCAGAAAATTGAATTAGAGAACAGAACAGCCACACTGCTGCTCTGGAGCAAACATCTGTTTTCACGGGTGCCAGGGGAAACCCAAGCAATGATTTGTTTTTATCTCTCAGAAAGAGGCAAGATCAGAGTTGTATGCAGCCTGCAGCCTTCCTCTTGCTCACCAGTGGAAATGACATGGCCTTCCAACACCCACTGCCAACTGGACGGGAATGTACAGTTTGTTTCCTTTTGAGGCAGGCTCTCACTGAAGCCCAGGTTGGCCTCGAATGAATGGCAATCCCATGTTAGCTTCTGAAGCACTGGGAGCTCAGGAGTGTGCCAGCATGCCCCACAGGAATTTGTTTTGATCATGAAACAGGGGAGGAGGAAAGTAGTTTCAGATGACAGGCTGCCTCAGGGCATGCTGCGGTTCAGCTTGTGAGATTTGCTGCCTTTGCTCAAGTCTCCTGTGGCTGTGAGGGTGACACATGTGGAGAAGAGTCTCCAGGTGACTGCCTTGGTTCCCCAGGGACCTTGCTTATGGACATTATCTGTCATAGGCAGTACAGTCGTGCAGCCTAGGACAGAGGACTGGTTTAAGACATTGTACACCCAGGACATGCACAGGTGGAGTACACATGCATGAGAGTCAGAGCATCAGTGGGAACTGGTCAGCTCCACCTCTCTATTCTGTTCTGTTCTACTCAGTGACATTACAGATGATGAAATGGCGTCCGTAGTTTTAGACTGAAACGGTCGGCACTATATAAGTAGGAAGGAAGCTCATGAAGATACTGTAGGACTCTGGCCTCTGTCCCTATTGTCTCCACTTCCTGAAGTCCAGTTGGCTCATCTTGATCTTCTCACCTGTCGCCAGCTTTCCCTTCAGCCTGTCTCTAATGTACACCCAGACTGTACCCAAATACACCCTGGGCACACACACCTTTTCACCTGTTACAGATGCTATCCACAGGTGGGCTCTCTCCTCCTCCAGATGCTCCTTGTTACCAGATCAGAGTGAAATGCCAGCTAAGTGGGGAGAGAGAGGCCCGTGGGTTAAATACAGGACTCTCGATTTCTTTGTTCTGTTCTATTATTGGCTCACAGTTTGTTCTTTGAGTCACCTTCTCACTGGTCTCCGCTTTACAGTTATAATCACCGCAAGAGCAAAGGCATACCTTGAAGTATTTTTGGCTCAGCTATGTGCTTACTTGGAACCGGGCCCAAACCCTTCATCCCATTGTTGCAGTGAAAAGCTTCTGTAGGGAAGCCACCCAGAAAGAGGAATTAAAACTAATGCCATTGTTCCAACCTGTCAGCATCATGCCTTTGTTTTGTTGTGTTTCATTTCGTTTTGCTTTTGAATTATGCTTAATTGGGGGAGAACAATGTTTCTAGCCCTGTGGAATGTCCTACTTAGGGTTTCCTTAAGAATTGCATGCATTAAAGGACTGTCACAATCTTTTAGAAAAAAGAGCCGTCTCTGTAAATGCCTCTCCGCTACACTGGTATCTTAAGGGTGTGAACTGAGAACTGAAGAAGTACCATCTTAGTTTAACTGTTTTGACAACTACATAAACTTGAGTAAATATCGTCTAAGCCTTAATTTTTGCAGCTGTGAATAGGGAGCATAGCGTTCTCCTTCCTTCTTAGGTCATGTTCAGATGGGCACTACAATAAACTAATGCACAAGTAACAAATTCTTCCGTGGGCTACAGTGGTCGTGATGGACACTTAGAGTCTTCCCTACCCCTGAATTATGTGATTATAGATAATAAAGTGTTCTTACTCTTTCCAAATACCATATTTTAAAACATCTGGTAAAATCTAAAGACCTTTTTAATGTAACAGTAAGCTGTAGTTTCTATTGACTTCCAGACAATCTCTGTCTTCTGACATTCAAAGCTAGGTGTATACTTGGGTCATGTAGAGTTAATTTTTTTAATTAAATTTTTTATTGTTTCTTATTATGTATATGTGTGGGTTTGTATGCGTATGTATATGTACACATGAGTGTAGGTGTCGGAGGAAGGAGTCCAAAGACTTTGCCTTCCCTGGAGCTGGAGTTATAGGTAGTTGTGAATGATCTGATGTGGGTGCAGGGAAGTGAGCTCAGATCCTCTGGCATATCAAAACGTGCCTTTAACCACTGAGCTGTCCCTCTAGGCCCAGATTTAATTTTTCTCAGTGACACTATTAGATGAACACAGTTGAGTAGACATCTAGCAGCATTGGGTGAGCTAAATAACTCGAAGCATCTAGAGCCTCCTTTGGGTGAATAGTCCGTTTAAAGAATAGAACAATTCCTTAAGGCCTTTTCTCATCAGCGAGACAAAGCCGCTCTCAATGAGATGGAAGATTCCGAATCAGAACACCACCAAATCCCGAGTCATGGTTCAAAACCCCCAGAAAGAGCACCATTGTGCACCATTTACAGTTTTATTTTCAGATTGACCTCCCTATCCAAACTATGACTGCCCAATCTCATTTACCTTGAAAGTGTTGTTGTATTAAAAACAACACAAGACAAGCCCCCAAACCAACAGTGTATCCTGCTGTCTCCCATCACAAATGGCTCATTCAGGTGTTGGCATGGTGTGCACTGCTGCTTAGGTATCACCGGGGAGTCACCTGGTGGGTACTGTCTGATACACTGGATTCCTCACAGAGCTAAAGTTGCCTCCCTCCACTTGCTGGGACACTCAGTTGTTGGAGCATTCTCTAAACAAAGTCACATATGTCTCGGCCTTTTTTTTTTTTTTTTTCTTAGAGACTTGGAGAAACGGCTTGGTGTGGGTTTTTCACACTCTTGTTTTCCTCTGCTTTCTTAATTGGACCTTATGGAAGTCATCCAAGTCAGGAAGGGAGGCAAAAGGGTCCAGGTGGAGAGTTGACATGGCTTCGTACTTAAGGGTACCACTCTGCTGACAACTAAGTCTTCATCCGTCCTTGCAGTAGATGTCTCTTTCCCCAGTGTAAATTGCCCCCTGGGACTCGAGAATCTCACCAGCACTTTGTGTTTCAAGTCTTCCCTGAGTTCACAGAAACACCCAATCTTCCTCTATATCCCAAACACAGTTTACAATCTGCTGAATGAGGACTTCCTTTGTTCTGGTGGAAAGCCCTCTCAGACGGTGTTTAGGAGCTAGACGTGAGGTACACGGACAACATGAAGAGACAGAAGTGAGCATGTAGAACAGGGTAGAAAGGCTGGAACTTTCCAGAAAGGCATGTTGTCACTTCACTCAGGCACTGTTTTTAATCTGTGGAATGACATCTTTGAGTGGGACAGGGACCGCTGAGTCCAACGCAGGTACTCAGAGACAGATTCAGACCCCCACAATGCCCAGCGAGGCTGCTGCTCCTCCCATAGTGGGTGGCTGCTGGTTTCTAAGTATCCAGATGTCATTGAGAAGGACAAGAAGTTCAATGTCACTGATCTGCTTGCTGAGCCTATGGTTCAGTTCCAGAGAAAGTGAGTGAGTGAATTATTAAAGGGGCCAGCGGAGAAGACAGAGTGATACAGTAATACACCTCTCATAGTCACCCACAGCCACAACCTTATTCCCAGAATTTGTCTGCTTACTAAGTCCTGTCCATGGGCACATTTGTTGGAAATTTCAAGTTTCACATGCAGTGAGTTTCCATTAAGCCTGGTGTCATTTCCTTGCATGACTGAGTTCATAAATTTTGTTTCCCTTCTCTTCTGCCTGAACTTCCCTGAGGTGGAGGCAATGGGGTCTACCCTTAAATAGTGACACACTCAGCCCCAACATGGCTGATTCTCTCCAGGTGTCTTGCTCAGCTCTCTTGCAGCCCTCTTTCTGCCCATGGACATGTGGTACCGGTAGGTTTCTGTGTACAGACAATGAGACCCTATATTAAGGTGCCTCGGAATGCCCATGAGTCAGCCAATTGCGTTTAGTTGACCACCATTTGCAAGGTGAAACCACTTTCATAAGCACACGAAGAAAGGTTGCCTGCTAATAGGGTCAGCAAGAGGAAAGCAGCTGTGAGAGCCAAAGTTATGTTTTAAATTTTAATTACTATGCTTAGAGAACCATAAAACAAAAATGCCTCTGACCTGCCAGCCTCTTTCCCAAGGACAGATAATTCCTGAGATGCTGGGGGCTGTTGTTCATAAACAAGCCACATGTTTTTATTTCCCTAAACAAGTTTGTTTGTCACAATTGCACTGAATGTGCTTGATCACAGGAAGGTGGGAGGTACATCAGGATATATGCTTACTCTGATTGGATGAAGGCAGGAAGTAAGTAGCCTTGTGGGTTTGCCTTTAGGAGCATTTGGCCAACATAGCTCATGACCCTTTTCTGGAAATCCCAGAATGGAATTGGCCAGTGTCCATCATTCTGGCCAGTATCTAACTAAAGCTTGCTTCAAATTTGGCTCAGAATTGTGGTGGTGGTCTTATTTTGCCTGGTGGGATCAAAACGCCCTTCACCTTTTAGCCAAAAAAACCTGCTATGTACAGTGTTCATATTAATCAGGGTCTGCAACATTGGCCACTTCAAAAGCATTTATAAACAGGCTTGTCACTCCTAAAGCAATACATTTATGTGTGAAGAGGACAACTTTGGGGCCATGCCATGCTCAGGGCATTACAATAACACAGACAGTCAGTGATTACTTGCGACCAGCTCAGCCAGGCTGCAGTCAACTGGGACCTATCAGTCAAGCTGACACTGGGAACAGACATGGTGCCTTTGTCCTTGTAAGAAAGGAAGTGTGGCATAGAATGTACTCAGGAGCAGAGGCCCTGATCTGGGGCCATGCTCCCACTTGCCAGAGTACAAATTAGCCACTCTGTCTCCATGTTATCATAAATGGGATAACAGTAATACTTATTCCTCACAGCTTTATGAGGTAGAAGTTTTAGAAATAGTTGGTGTATAGTCAGATCCCCGCCCCTCCACCCTTGCCCTGAACATCAGCCCTGGTGTCATTCCACCAGCAGCTGCTGGCCTGAATGCAGAACTGTGCTTTCCTCTCTGCTTCTGTGGCTTTACTGTAAGGTCTTTGTTCCTTCAGGCAAACACACCCAATGCCATGAGCCAAAAGTGTTAGAGCAGAAAAAATAACAGTGTTCTCAATTAGCAAGGAAGTGATTTCCTGATTTTGAGTTTTCACCATGAAAATAAAATAGTAAAGTAAAGCTGCTGGATATGCAGCTTTCTGGGTCATCTCTACTCAGCATGCATGAGGCTACAGGTTCAATCCTGAGACTGCAAAACTGCTGAGAGAAAAAAGGGAAGAGGGAGGAGAGAGGAGAGAGGCGGGAGACAGAGTTGAGGAGAGAGAGAGAAAGGGAGAGAGAGAGAGAGAGAGAGAGAGAGAGAGAGAGAGAGAGATCATTACAGAAAAGCACAGGGAAACAGAATCACCTACAGCCTTCACATCAACACAGTCACTGTTAACGCTCTGCTGTTTCTACGCTCAGGCATATATTTGATATATCTGGTGTGATGGCGGTCATGCTGCATATGTGATTTTATGTCTTGCCTTTAACTTCAGATTATATTATAGACACCATTGTCAAAGCCTGCAGGCAAATCCTTAAGTCGAGTGTGTCATAGTTTATTTAACCAACGCTGTGCTGTGGTTAGATATGTATGTCACTTCCAATTCTACAATATAAATGATGTCACTTTACAATTAATAATGCTTTGGGACAATCAACCCTTGAACTGATGTCAAGAGCCCGAGTGAGAAGACAGGGGCTCTTCTGTTTTATTAATGAGAACTGAGCTGATACAATAATAGTGTGGGTTTCTTAGACCATAAAAATGGGAGACCACCCTAGTCTTTTCCTTTAAAAAAAATGCTGCAGTCTGATTCATTCTGTGTGTTCTGTCAGGACACATGTTCCAGTGTATTTCTAAATGCAGACTGAAGAACAAAGACTGTTTTAGCAAGTTCCTGAATAATTATCTGGGAATGTCTCTTTCACCACCAGGCTGGTGACCACCAAAGGGGTCCCAGCTATCAGAAACCACTGGCTTGTATCATCTTTCCTCTAGACTCCTTGAGTTTCTGCTGGGAACCAGTATTTCGGGGATGACCCTAAAGTTTAGCCTCTGTCTTCCCAGAGGGCGGGGAGCTACAGATAGTGAGAGAAATGCTGCAACACAGAGCAAACTCTGGGGGGAAGCACTGAGGATCGGTTCCTAACCATCACTGCAAGGGCTAATTGGAGTGGGGCTAATTGAAGGCCTCATGGGAGGAACTGGTCTGTGAGGCAAGACCTGGACAATGAGGAAGTAGTAAAGGGAAGGCTATGTAAGCCAGAAAGGTTTTTAAGATGTCACAAGCACCATCATGGAATATTTACACACACACACACACACACACACACACACACACACACACACACACACAGAAGTGAGTTGCATGTAAGGTTGAGATAGGTCTATCAGTTAAGAAGTGTGTTTTTTTCCAGACTTTTTCTTTTGGGCCACCAACCAGCTCCCAACTCATGACATGGAGACTTGCTATTAGTTATGAATGCTCGGCCTAGCTTAGGCTCTTTTCTGGCTAGAGTTTTTAACTTAAATTAACCTGCTTCTCTTTATCTACCTTTTGCCTCAGAGCTTTTTACCTTTTCTTTCTGTATGTCCTACTTTTGCTGCTGCTTCTGTGTCTGACTGGCTGGCTGGCCACTGCCTGCCTGGCTGGCCCTGGGCATGTCCCTCTCTTTCTCCCCTGTTCTCTTTGTTCTTTTTCTCATTCTCCTATTTATTCTCTCTGCCTGCCAACCCCGCCTATCCCTCTACTGCCTAGCTATTGGTCCCTCTGCCTCCCACCCCCGCCTATCCCTCTACTGCCTAGCTATTGGCTGTTCAACTTTTTATTAGACCAATCAAATGCCTTAGGCAGGCAAAGTGCAACAGCAACACATCTTTACACAATTAAACAAACGCAGCACAAACAACTGTAACACATCCTTACACGTTAAACACAACCTTTACACAATTACTAAAATGCAATACATGTTTACATAGTTAAATATTCCACAACAGTGTTTGCCTTAAACATGATGGGAGATTATTTCCATACAATTAGAAGCATTCTGTCAGCTGTAATCAAGGTGCTTTGGACTTGACGTAAGAAAGTCATGAAGGGACAGGGGTAGGGGAGGTTTACTGATTGAGTCTAGAAACCAGTGTCCAAGTGGGCAAGAAGAGGAACAATAGCAGCTCATTAGAAAACTAGGTCTTCACTGGGCAGTGGTGGCGCATGCCTTTAATCCCAGCACTTGGGAGGCAGAGGAAGGCAAATCTCAGTGAGTTTCAGGACAGCCAGGACTAACATAGAGAAACCCTGTCTTGAAAAAGAAAAAAGAAAGAAAGAAAGAAAACTGGGTCCTCTTCCTTCAACTCAACAGTATTTGCTATGTGACATCCACTCTCTCTGATTTCATGGTCCACTATTGTTCCCTAAGCTCCAACCAGAAGTTGTTTGTTGGAGACCAACACCTCTAAACTGTTTTCTTAGGAGACATACACATTCTGTCCACTTTATTCTTGTTGACTGTATCTGCCCTCAACGAAAAGGGAAACATTCTTTTGGCTGATATATTGTGCCCTTGAATAAAACCCTGATTTTGTTCCTAAAGAAGAAAAGGGAGCAGATGTGAGGCACACCCTCAACAAGAGCTACCCAACTGCACTCCTTTAAGTAGAGCAGTGGCTACATGTTGCCCAGTCACGTAACACTGTAAAGCAACCTGAATGTCATCTCAGCCTTGAGGTAGCAGAGGGAGGATTAAACCAGCACACTGTTCCTCTTGCTGCTGGCTTCTCCCTCCATTCCCAGTTAGGGGGAGAAATTCCTTCAGAGTTCATAATCAGACACCAACATGTACATCTCTGAAGTAATCGGGGAGGATGCCAATCCACACACATGGAAACATGGCCCTTGCCTCGTTGCCCTGGTGATGAGATAATTAAGAAAATGAATGGGATGATGCTGAGCAGAAAATCACTTCTGTTCTTATGCCTCAGGAAGAGAAGAGGATGTCTGATATTGCCATTCCAGGGGGAAAGGCAGTCAAGAGATTCATCCTGAGACATCATTTAGCTCCTGTGGTCCAGTAGCTTCCTAACTTAGGGTTACTTTCCAATGGCACACTCTTATTTTCTTTGTAAAGACTATTTTTAAAAAGACGTTTAGGTGCTCAGGAGATGACTCGGTGTGTAAATGTGTTTACTTTACAAGCATGAAGACCTGAATCCAAATCTCCAGCACCCATGTAAAACACCAGGCATGGCTACATGCCTGTAATCCGGCATAGGGGCATAGACAGATGGCTCCTGGGAGCTTTTGCTGACTACCTAGCCAAAATGATGAGCTTCCAACTTGTGACAGACTGTCTCAGGCATCAAGACAGAGCAGTAGAAGAAAAGGAGCAAAGGACTCAACGTCTTGCTCTGGCCTCCGCATGGAGTGCATGGGTGGTTGT